GCTAATTTAATATACAGTGCGTTGTGCTATACATCTTTAAACATAAGGCAGTGAGTTGACAGGCTCTGGAAAATCTTGTTTTAGCAGATTGAGCGTAGACAGCTATGTTCCTCTGCCAGAGGTTATTAACCCCACAGCAGAATTAATCAGTACAAAACGAAGGTCTACACTTCAACACAGAAATACTTGAGGGCAAAGCTTGTACCTGGCCATATGCTGCTGCTGAGCAGCATGTTTTAAAGTATATGATTTTGCTGTCATAGTGTCAAAGTGAATTGCTTTAAATTTGTTTTCTAAACTCATTGGAATATGTGGTGCACTCTCTCAAGTGTTTTATTGAATTTATTTTTACTGTCCCTACCACCTGTGTAATTAGTATCCTCAGACAAATGAAGGTCTCTTATTTGTCCCCAAACACATAAATCCTGTCATGGCTTCCTGCTCAGTGTCTTCTGTTGGATTACAGGTTCATTCTTTGCTCTTCCATTTTAATTACCAGAGTTGTGGTGGTGTGTGTTTTTTTTTTTGTTTTTTTTTTTTTTTTTTAATCCCTTCAGGGGCTAAGACTTCTACATTATTGGAGATTGATTTTTTTTATCTTCAGAAACTCAGGCTGTCAAGTTTTCATTGTTACCCTATCCAAAAGTCTCACTAGGATACAGTTTGTATTTCACTCTGTTGCTTTTTCCATCTTCTCCACCAAGTTCTCTGACACCAAAACACCAGGCTACTAGTAATGAGAAATAATCTGCATTTCTATTTTTGTTTTCCAAGTTGCCATTTTTTGAAAGTATTTCCTCACTTCTGAAAGTGTCTTAACATGTTCAGGACCTGGATTTGAGGCTCAGTATGGGTGTTGCCCTGATACCAGAGTTGTGATACTCTGATACCAGACTAGCTTTGGTTCAGACAAGTTAAAGTTCTTGTAAAATAGATTTAATTTTGCTCATGGCCAACCCAGCTACTGAGCTGCTAATTTAAAAAAAACTAATCTGTATTGCTGGAAGAATGTGTCTCATTAGGTCATATGAGACCCAGGGCTGTCTAAATGACCAGGTTTTCTTTTCCCTGTCTTCTGGTGAGGTAGTTGCATGACTAAATGCAGCATAGAGCAATGAAGGGAAGGTGGGGAAAAAAGTTCCAGAGACTGGAAGATTCATGAAGGAGAAGTAAAGAAGGGAGAAGTTGAGGGCAGGTAATTTTGAAAAGAGTCAGAAGAACCACCAAAATTGTGTACACATAATACTGAAGAAAAGAGTGAGAGAAGTCACTGCGTTGATAACTGGCTCTGTGGGTGGGGCAGGTTAATACTGAAGGTGAGACTGCAGAATTTAAGGTGATAAACTGTGCTGAACAGCTTAAACTTTATGCTATTTCTAGTGGGAGGAGGAGGAAAAAGTGATTAAAAGTTCCTGGAATGCATTGATGACAATTTCCTTCTCCAAGTGCTAGAGGAGCCAGCGAGAAAAGATGTTAGGCTGGACCATGTTCTCACCAACAGGGGAGATATGCATGGGTAATGCAAAGTTCAAGGGTAGCCTTAGCTGCAGTGAACATGAAATGGTGGAGTTCAAGATCCTTAGGGCAACATGGAGTGTGCACAGCAAGTTCATTACCTGGACTTACGAGAGCAGACTTTCACCTCTTCAGGAGTGTAAAATCCCACTTCTGACACCAAAAATGTCACAAACCGGTACCGAAGGGGCACGGGGTCAGGTTGTTTGTGACTTTAACTAGGGGAAAAGGGCTGAGGCTGAGACGCCCACGTGGCACTTGCCTCCCAGGGGAAAACAGGTTGAAGCCCCTCACCACAGTCACAAACAACCTGACCCGGTGCCCCTTCAGTACTGGTTTGTGACAAGGAGGCAGAGTATCAGGAATAAAGCCCTGGAGGGGAGAGGGGCCCAAGAAAGCTGGTCAGTATTCCAGGTCCACCTCTAAACACTAAAGGGTGTCTCTTTGTGGAGTCTGGAGTAAAAACTGCAATTCTGGAGTCTTGTAACTTCTCCTGTTGTAATATGTCTCTGAGACCTACTGTGTCTCATCCCCTTCTCAGTGGGCAGTCCTCAGAGGGAACGCTGGCCTGTCCTCTCAGATGGCTTCTTGCTCCATCTGCTTCGGGGAGAAAGCTTTGTGCTGTGGACTTAGATCTGAGTCCAGCTGTTCCCCATCATGTGCCAGCTGAAATTCAGTTACTAGCTTTTTCTAAATATTCTTTCGCCTTTTCAAAGAATTCTTTTTAAGCACAGATTTAAAAATTGAACTCCTGAAGTCAGAAACTCCTGGAACAGAAACCGTCTGAACAAGATGACTTTAAATGCATTATCATATGATCAGTCTGGTTTTTGTTGTGCGGCTTGAAATGTTTTTTTTATACACAGATATCACTAGAGCTAGAAATAATAAAATACAATCTTTGAATCTCAATGCATTTTAGAGTTGCTTTGCTGTAATTTTCACCGTATTTATTCATGGAAAGCCATGTGATACATGTTGTTCAGGAACTTGGCTTTCAGCTATGCAGTTTGTGTAGGTTGTGCCCTTATTTATCCCATGACCTTGCAGTATCACTGTAGGCTCTCATGACTTCGGGGCTTAATTATTGTAATTCCCTTTTCAGTGGATTAGTGATGAAGCTAATCTGCTGCCTGCAGCTTGTTCAGACTGCAGCAGTGTATTTACTGGTGGGTTTCAGCTACCCTCATCACATCCAGCTTGCTTTGTGTTTTTTTGCATTAGCTACTTACTACATACATGGTGTAATGTTTAAATGAGCTTTATGTATAAAGGTCTGCATGGGCATGCCTCAGTTACATTTAAAGATTCTATTTTATTTTGTAACCTGTTAACCTTAACCAATTTTTTAGTTTTTTCTGCAAGACTTACAAAAGGATTAAGTCTGTGGATTAAATAATTTGAATATAGACTTCTGTCAAGTAGGTCTTAAGCCATCATTAAAATTGAAAGAGTAGACTGGCCATTAAGTTGCTGAGAAGTAAATGGCTGGTGTTAATTGAGAAGCAGTTAGGTATCCTAGATGTCTCCTTAGGACCAGTAGATACAACATGGTCTTTGAGACAGCCAGTTCTTTTGGACTGGCACCTGGAGGTCAAGTGAGATATTTTAGAACTTATTAAATGGTACTGTGTATGTTAAAAAATTGGATCAAGCCCAAGGTATTTACTTTGGAATAAGATGAATTACTGTCTCCACTCCATATCCTGCTCAGTAGATCTGCATTGGCTTTCATGAGACTTTGGACACGATCTCCTATGTCAGCATTTTTGTTTAGGTGCCCTATTTTGGATCTGAGGCTTACCTATGAGGTCTTTCATCTATGTGATTTTTAATAATGCCCCAAACCTTGAGTTAAGACTGACTGCATGTTCTAATTAAAATTTTATTAATCATAAATCCCTGGCATGCTGGAGTTTTTTTAGTTCCAGGGCATTAGACTTCTGAAACTCAGAATGTTTTTTAAATGCAGCCATTATTTATGGCATTAAACTTCAGTAGTTTGACAGTGATATCTTTGCTTATATTTTGTCTCATGTAATTAAAAAAAAAAGGTGTGTTGCTCTTCCAGGCCTTAAAGAAAAAAAGAGAATATTTATGTGGTATCTTTTGTTTATTTAAAGGAAAACTTGTATGCATCTAAATGTTTTAGTTACATAAACTTGGTGGAGATTGTGCTAAGAAATGCGTCTGTTAATTTCTGTTTTGATGTGTCTCTTTCTTTGGCAAGTTCCTAAGAATGGATAGTATGTTTGCGAAGCATTTCTCTACTCTTATTAGTTTAGGAAAGTCTTTTCTAACCTCAGAATATTTTTTTTGCTTGTCTGCGTAACTTGGAATTAAACTTGTAATTTAAACCTTCAGATACTCTTAGTTCTATTAGCCCCTCCTCCCGTAGTCTGTGTGAGTAGCTCAAGTGCAGAATACTTTGAAGATGGGCTTTGAGCTGGCAAGTGTTCAAAATCTTTGAAAGCTTTTCTTACTAATTAAATACATGAAATCCAGGAGAACTGTGGTTTTAGGTTTAATATGCTCACTGTGTTTGCCACCAAGCTAATGGTATTTACCTGATGATAATTTCAGTTTATTGTATTAATAACTTTTAAACGTACCCTGTATAGTGGATACCAGGCAGTTCTCACTGTAACTGTTGAACAACTGTCTTCAGGAAGTCAAATTCCCATACTTTGCAGTGGTTTAGTCCCGAGGACATGAGCAGTGCATGTGGTCACTGTACCTGAAGGATTTTCCAGAGCCACTGGGAGCATCAGGACGTCCCACCAGGCCATTTAAGCCTTTCCCCAACTTCCAGCCTGACCTGCAGTCCTGTAGGATGGGGAGAGGAGAAAACTCTTGGCATTTTGCCAGTGCTTAGGAGAAGTCTTGAAGCATGGATTTGATAAAAGGACTTATTGGAGCAGAAAATGAACAATCGCCTAAATCACTCAAAAATATTCTCAACACAACTTCCTAAAAGTAGAGGTTTTATCATTTTTGTTGTTGAGTTTAACTCTGCTGTACTTATGTTTGTGTATCTCTGTACTGAGTCCAGGGAAAGAAAGAGGAGAAAATCAACTTGTGCATAGACCTAATGTGTGTGCTCTCTGTCCACCTTTCATATTTCAGTGTAACTCCATATGATCTTTCTTTTAACATAGCTACTTTGATCTGTGGATAATTGCTAGTAGTGAATGGTAAGATTCTGGGAAAAAAAAAAATTTTTTTAGTTTCTGTATAGCTCTTCTACATCTTGTTTTTTCCTCATAGGTTGGGATGGTGGGAATGAATATGAGAATAGTCCAGGTTAAGCATAATCCTACCCATGAGGTGTAATGCTGTAGTTTGTATGTTCTGTTTGAGTTGTCCTTTGCTGGTTTAAATATGATACAGGATATCATTAAATTACATGCTGCCATAAATAGTAGAGCTTTTCTATTAAGCTTTTGCTAGAAAAAATGTCAAATGAAAAAATATTTTTGTATTAGATATGATTATATGAAAATACATCCTTCTGAGACAATGCATCTAGCAGTGGTTGCCTGTGGCGAAAGACTGGAGGAGACTGTTACTATGTTGAGATCAGCCATTATTTTCAGCATGAAACCTCTCCAGTTTCATATTTTTGCTGAGGACCAATTGCATGAGCGTTTCAAAGCCATAGTAAGTACCCAAATAATTTATTTAATCAATTTGTAGTACAATTTTAGTATTAAAATATAAATTTCTCTTCTTCTTGGATAGTAGTAGTTCAATATAATGGCAGAAGTGCAGGGGTCTAAAGAAGATGATAATATTGCAAGTCTTTTGTAATGTTGGAAGGGGATCTTTGAATTTTTTTTTTTTCTGTGGAAAAATGCAAGCTGTTGATATCAAACCTTTTCACAGAGACAGACCAAAAATTCCTGATGTGTCACCTTCAGTCTGTTAAATACAAACCTGAAGTTCTGAACACAAACCAGTAATCTTGTGTGTGCTTATCTAAAGCTGGTTTTTCCAGAGAAAAGTAGACATCTGTCCTTTTTTGTCCCTTTTGTGATTAGAGTATGAGTCAGCCTTACATTGTCTAAAGAAAGTGAAACATCAGTCTTTGGAAATGGTATATATGGTTATGTCTAATTTTAGTAAACTCAGTTAATGAATATAACATTGTGACTGGAGTAGCAGTATTACAAGCTGACTACTATATAGCTGTGGAGTTTTTAACTATTTTTGTGCTTAAAGTGTCATACTAACTATGACAGTATGTTATATACACTAACAGATATACATTAATGTCATGCAAACAGCTATGGCAAAAAATTTGGCATGGTTATTCTAAATTTTAAAATACTTCATTGATGTTTCTTCTAAGGAAACTAACAGGGAAGAGTTTTATTTGATATATTTACTTTTGCAAATACTAATTTATTTCACTTGCTTTTTGTGTATGATCTGATATGATGTGTTATCTTCATAGTGTCCTGCAGGTGCCACTTTTTGTTCAAGTATTCTGAATTGCTGACAGATTCTTGTAGTTCAGGAAGCAGTTCTGTTATGGAAGACGTGTTGCAATTGTGTTCAGTTACCCATTTGAATGGGGAATTGATTTCTTTTTTGTGATAGAATTGAGCTGAAGTAATTTTTGTGATCTCTTCTTTTCACAATAGCTTGATGACTTACCCTATGAAGGAAAAGTTAATTACACATTATATCCAATAACATTTCCGACTGAGAGTGCAGCAGAATGGAAGAAATTGTTTAAACCATGTGCTTCACAAAGGCTATTCTTGCCAGTAAGTTATTCTGCAATAAGACAATACAGAAGCCTGTTTATGAATTATCAAGCTGTGCTTGTTAATCTGATTTCTGCTTAGTTTTAAATTAAGAACTACTCTACTTCTAAAAATTACTTCTGTGGCATCCTAAAAAACCCTCTGAATTTAACCACCTTCTGAGGCACTATGGAGTAAAAGTCCTTTTCTCACTCACTGCATTATGGCACAGTATCCTCAGTGAGAGGTACAGGTCATGTCATCCTCTCAGAGGTAAGCAGTATTTATCACACCTCATCTCCTCATTTAGTTGGACAGCATGTGTGTGTCTGACAAGTGTTAGAGAAATGGGCTGTTGTTGCTGGAGTGTTTCCTGCAGCCATTTCTAAGACATAATCTAAGACACTTCAGAAATCCTACTTCAGGCTACAAGAATTATAGCAGTGGCAGCTGTCTCCAAAATACCATCTCTTCTGGGGCTTCCTTGCACCTCTCCCTTGTTTAGTTAGATGCACAGGAAAGCAAGGAAACAGGAGAACAGAGGCTCCAGTTATGTTAATGTTTCACCTGACTGGCAACCTATTCCTGAGAAGCCACAGGATTTAAAATGTAGACCAAGTAAGTGCCTTTGTGTCCCTGTTCTGTAGAAAACCTCTGTTTCGCTTTACAAAAAATTCTCAAAAATGGGAGAAGAGGGAATGATGACAAATTTATTGACTGCAAAATGTCAGTCTAAAGTGAATTTATTTGCATATGATAAAAATGTATTAAACTTTACTATATAATGGCAGCAACTTCTGCTTTATGAAGACAAGGTCAATAAAACTTTAAAAGTTTGGTTTTAAATTTCTTTCCCTCACAGTTAATCCTCAAAAATGTGGATTCGCTACTGTATGTCGATACTGACATCCTGTTTTTGAGACCTGTTGATGACATTTGGTCATTCCTGGGCAAGTTCAACTCCACACAAATTGCTGCAATGGCACCAGAGCACGAAGAGCCTCGTATCGGGTGGTACAATCGCTTTGCCAGGCATCCCTACTACGGAGTCACTGGGGTCAATTCTGGAGTCATGTTAATGAATATGACACGTATCAGGAGGAAGTATTTCAAGGTACGTGTGCTGCCTTCGTTGCATTTTCTGTGATTTTAGTTCTTTTAATTCTAATCCTGTTTCAAATTCATATTGGATAATGTTTTTCATAACTGGAGTAATGCTGGAAAACACGCAGTGTTTAAAATTGTAGCTAACTTGTGTTTTTTAAATGTCATTCTCTGTAAGACTTGGAATCCCTGAATTTCAAATGTGCTTGATTATTTTAATTTTTTCTTAGTTCTGAGACATCCTGTGACTTGATATAGTCTGCTGTAAATTACATTTGTTGGTAGATGATTTTTTTTTTTCTTCCCAGAAAACAGTTCAAGTATAGTGTTAACTAATTTTAAGAATGTGTGTAGTAGTATGACCAGGAGGTGGTGCTAAAACATTTAGTAAGTTATTTTAACTGCATGGTTTCCCAATTTTGGTCTTTTACATTGTAGCCGGATGATTGTCACCTTAAATATCTTTTGAAGTAATAGTTTTTGTAGAGAAATAAGTTCATCACGAAGCAGTGCATGCAGCAGCAGAAATGTTCACTGCTTCAGAGATGGGAAGTTTTTTCGTACACAGTTGATAGACAAGTACAAAAGCTGTGCTGTGTGATTATACTGGGGGGAAAAACTACTTCATTTCAGAGAGTTTGATTAGTGAAAAATAATCATGCAGTCAAAAACTATTGGAAGGTGCATCCCTAAGAGGGGCAATATAAACTTCCAGTCCATATTACTACTCCTCCCCCCTTTCCAGTTTAAGAAAGATTTAGTTGTTATCATCAAATTCTTGCTATGTATTTTTCAGAGTATTTAAGAAAAATGGAGAATGGATTATCTTGGCTATAGCAGCTATGGTATATAGCTGTAACTTCCCCCAAAAGGAAACTTCCCTGTATATATCTTCACTTGGAATGCATTGTTTAGTTTACTTGTTTGTATTCCTGATTATAGCATCTGGAGAAACGAAAGTATTGAAAAGTATGACAAGAAAAATGTGGGACTGAAAACTGCATCTGTCTTAACCTCTGACAATGCATTTCTGTGTAGTGACTTCTTTTTAGGGTGGTAAACTCTTGAGATAAGGCTGGTCTTTTTATGCATATTATGCCAGAATCCTGTTTGGGCTTCATGGTACAACTGAGGTTATTGATTTATTGGAGACTTCATGCGTTTTTATTAAAATTTGACTTAAGATTTTCAGCAGATTAGTTAGGTTAGTAAAATTGTCTTTCAAAGTAGCTGGAGTTTTCTAGAGGACAATATAAAGGCCTTCTTCCTTAACACCTAAAACTAGTGGTTTCTTAAAATTTAGATCAAATATACATATTTATATAGCTACACATTTATATACACGCATACATGTTTGTACAGATTTAAGTAGATGAAATAATTAATATTTTTAAATTCAAAATGGAATATTGCTGCTTTCCCTTTTGAGTAGAGGGCTAGAGTATTGTCAAAGTCCTGAAAATATCTGCTACGTATTTGTGTTGTTACTGTGTTTTATATTTATTATGCAGTGAAACATCAGATTGCTAAACCAAAACCAGCCTTGTAGGAGGTGTTTTTATAACTGCCCTTTATTGTGTGGGTGAATATCTGTAATTTATAAGACCTCAGTTGTAAGGCAAGGCATGAATCCATATAATTCTTTCATCATCCTGCTGGCAAATGTCAGTATACCTAATGTGACGTACAGTTTCTGGCTAAGTGGGCCACTGAACTTTCTGTAGTGAGGAAGACTGTGTATTGTAACTGGTACAGAGAATCAGAACCAAAAAAAAAGTCTCCAATTGTCCTGAAAACATTCATCTTGATGCTCTTTCTCAAGCTGTTCAGTACTTACTGGATTAAGCACTTCTACTCGATATGTTGCAGGCTTAGTGTTCATACGACTGGGAGAAAGGAACCAAAATTGGAGTGAGCTACCCAGTGCTGTGCAAACATACTAAATATTCAGAATTATGAAAGGGCACTTGAGAAAGGAAGACAGAAGGAGAGCAAAGCTTCCCAATAGTAAAGCACATGATTCAAAGCCCTTTGTGGTGCTTTTTACAATTTTTTGTTAAGTCAATCCATTCCCTTGCTCCACTTTAGCTGTTTTAAATGTTAGAAATACAGCCTTTTCTAGCCTTAATCTTAGTCATCATTCGTTGGTGTCCTTCCTAGGGCTTTAATGTCAACTTCAAGCTTAGACTTCCTGTTCTGTATCTGATGCATATATAGTTCTAGCCCTTGCTTCCACGTGTCTTCTGAACTTCATACTTGTCCAAGAATTCTTGTGAATGCACTATAGCTATTCCTCAAACATTTGAGACTAGTGCTGCACGTAAAGAAATGTTCCTTCACTCCTGCTTGGTAGTAAGAAGTAAAAAAGAATTTAAAAAGATTGTGTTCTGTATACCTGGGGGTTTTGGGATTTGTCTGGGTTTTTTGTTTGTTGTGTTTTGTTTGTGGTTTTTTTTTTTTTTTTTTTTGTATGTGTGTTGGGGTTTTAGCATGGTTGCTGAGAACTCCTTTCTTGTGTGTGTGTCATCTTTTTCCTGCCATTGCTCTGCCTCTTTCTGCCCTGATTTCATCATCCCATACATCTTTTCTGGAGTCTTATTCTGATTATCTTGAGCAAGAAGCACAGATAGTGTTTGGATGCATGGTGTTTTGACACATACAGATTTTCTGGTTCAGCTGAAGCATTTTGAAATGTCTTCTTTGGATGTTGATTTAAATGCTTAATTTAAAACCTTGTCCCTTTGTCTCTCAGGCCTTTGTATAACAAATGCTGAGCATCTAGCCAAGTCTGTCTTGGTGTTTCTGGCAAGTTTCTTACTTGTTCAAGCTTAGAATTTGTAGAGATAGATACTTTTGTACGCTATAACTGTCTTGCTAAGACTCAATGTTAGACATTATTGCGAGTGACTAACATACTTATCAGTGGAGACTATTTGGTATTGCAAGGCTCAGAATTGTTTCAGATGGGAGACCTTATGATCTCTAACCTGTGCTGTTGACTTGGTCCTTCTACCTATTTGACACACTGAAGAAATGTCCTATAGTATCAGGCTTGTGGCAGCATGCTCAGCCCAGTCAGAACAGTTTGAGGATGTCTAATCAGAGAGCTGCTAGGTTACCTGAAACTTATGAATGATAGTGCTTGATCATTCTTCTCTAATATCATAGCTAGATAGTACAACCTGGGTGATGATTAAGCAGGAAATGAGTTTGTTATACGTCATAGATTATTGAGATCTTGACTTAGAGAGCACTCAACAGGAGAACCATTTAGTTTATACTCCCCTAGTGCCAAGAGTATGGTCCCACAAGCTTGCAGAACATTGAAGAGCCCAAAGATGCACAAGCTTTATTACAAAAACTCTGCTGTTGGTGGAGACTTGCAGAGACTGCTTTCATCTTCAGGTTCCTTGAACCTCTTAATAGGAGGATTGGTTGATATGAAAAATTGCAAGCCTCACAGCAAAACTTTGGGAAGACTTTATTGTAGTTGAGACTATAAACGGTAGGCCTGAAAGTCTGTGGCTTCCCTTGTGACTGATAGCGAAGGAGCTGCTAGTCTCAAGCCTTCAGAAGAAAGCTTGAAACAAATTCAGGGGTAGGGACGATCCTAATCCCCTTTGCCTGCAACACTGCAGGTGCTTTTGGACCTTGTGGATACTGTCCCATATCATGTCCCTTTAACTGTTCCAGTCAAATACAGCAGAGCTAGAATAAGCCTTATTGTCTTATAGGAGGGTCTGAATTTGTTTATATTCATTCAGGAGACTCAGCAAATACCTCAAGCAGTATATAAGTTCTGGGATTTTTTTGTATCTTTAAAAAGCTGCCTATGGAGCCTTCTGTGTGACTGTCTAGTGGCTAGAATGCTAGTATAAACAGTAGAATTTTTGAATCGGGATATTCCTCCAAAACAATGGATTTAAAACTGCAGGTTCTTTGTCTGTTGTAGTTTCTTCAGCTCAAAATCGTAGGCTGAGCTGCTTGAGGCCTTCAAGCATTCTATTTATGTTGATGTTGTCACATTGATTTTTAAGAGTCAGGAGGAACCAGAAGATGAATAAATAAAAATGAGAGCCAGAGACATTTTCCAATGGTTACAGCGCTCACCTGGGTAGCAGAAGACCTGTAATTCCCTGTATTGCTTTAAGATTAAGTCTTCTTTTACCCACTTATTTGTTCAAACCTCTATCTTCTCAAGACTGTCAGGTCTAGTCATTTCAGACAAACATCTTGCTACCTGGCTATCTGTGGTGCCTAATGGAAGTTGTCACTCTTGGTCCTAGCTGTGTTATTTGTCTTGTTTGCTTTGAGACTCTGTGTATATATACAGTACAAATATAGTCACTGTAGATATATATATATAGAGAGAGGGATACATATGAGATGTATATATATAGAGAGAACATACATGTTATTGAATATAGTATAGTCATTAAGCAGTGCATAACTGCACATAGGACTAAAGTCTGTGATGCAGCTTCCGATGGTTAGTGCCTTCCTGTTGTCTTTGCTAAAGCAGCAATTAGAAAATTGGAATGTAAAATGTGCAAGAATATTTAGGAGATGGAAGACGTAACAGGAGGTGACTTTTTAAAAATCCAAGTATGCGCACGTATGTTGTAGATGCTTCTAAGCTGGAAGAGATGTAGCAAATACCACAGGCATGGTGTTCTAACAAAACATCCTATGCCAGTGAGGTTTTGTGAATGGACAACAATGACTTTTATAACATTTATTAAGAAATTTAGTTTTGGTGATGCCTGAGATGTGGGGAGTCACAGAAAGGAACGAGCTCTTAGAAAATCAAACAAGCCTCAAAACAAAGTAAGTCCAGATGGTGTGTGCAAGGGACAGGTACATGGGTGTGCTTTAGACAAACAAAAAATGGAAGTTCAGAGTTCCTATGACCTAAGCCATTATACACTTTTTTTTTACCATTCAGTATTGCTTAAGGCTATAGTTCCAAGAAGTATGGTGAGCCTGTGCAAAAGCTAATTGTTGCTAAAAGCAAGGTTCCCAACTCTTCCCAGCTGCTTTTCCCTGCTTTCTTATTTACTTTGCCCTCACCTCTGGTGTTTGGTCCTCTCTGATTCAATTAAATTGGGTAACAGTAGAAAAATAAGTCCTTCTGTTGGGTTAGTGAAGTAAATCAGCTCACAAAAAACACGTACACTGTTAATGCAAGAGCAGGATTGGGTCATGTAACCAGGAGGAGGAGGAGGGCTTGCTCTTATTTGGCATGAAGGCAATTTAAATAGGTCAACTCCTTGTGGGACATGGCTGCAGGTAGATTAGATATTGCTGTATGATTTGAGTATTTTTCCTCAACTTTATATTTTCTTAACAGAATTGAGGTAATACTAGATTGCAACAAGCTAAATGTGACAGCTCTTGTAAGTCTGACTTCATCCTTGACTAGGCAGAAGTCTTCTGGGACAGAAATCAGAAATGACCAAACTAATCTGCACAACTAGCACAGCATCTAACCCCATCCCCCTTCCAAAACACATAGGAGAAATTCTTAATATTCTTAAATATATTTTTTGTTCTAACATATTTGGTTCTCAAAAAACCCTAGAATTTTGAGGGTTCATAAGAGTCTATCTGTATCAGTTTGGTGTCGCCACAGAAATGCCCATCACCGTTGTGTTTTTTTTTCTTAAACCTATTTAACCTTCTTTGCAACTTGTTGAATATCGGAGAGAAGGTAATGTACTTAAGGTAAATCCTTAAGGTATCACACAGTTGTTTTCCTCATAGTTAATGGAGTAGCTTTTTGAAAGCACATTAGTTCTGTCAGTTTTGTCATCAGCTTTGATTGCACTTGAGCGTTCTACTTCTCACTTGGACCCCACTGTAAGTTACAGTAGATTTTTAAAGAAGGAGCTTGTACTGTTCAAGTAGTTTCTCTTGCTCTGTGATCTCTATGCTAGTTTCATGATGCATCAGTGTTGAATTAATATCTAACTTGTTTCCATTTATGCAAAGGTTATTGAAATACTACAACTTCCAGTTCTTTAATCTGATAGCACTATTTGTCAAGTAGTATTGCTTCTAGACATCTGCCAGTGTGACATATGCTGTTACCTGCTTTGCATCTCCTTGGGATATATTCTGGATTTCACTTGTATTGACACCGTGCAAGTTAAATGAAAATGTTATGAAATAATGACTTGAAAAATTTAAAGTAGTATTTCTATAGGTTGGTCTACAACTTTATTGAATACCATATATCCTGTTATGGTTATCCTGATATCAGTGAGCTGATTTAATTCTGGTTTTTATTCTTAGCATCGAGTCTAAATTTAAACCTTAGGTCAGTATTCTGTGGATGCCCCAGTTCAGGTGGGGAAGTAATCTTTACCCACTGGTGCAGTCAGATTGATTTGGTTTTTGGAGGATTTTAGCTTGTTGTTAAGCCTGTTTTCTTTTGTTTAATCACACTGTACTGAGCCTAATGACAATTCTGGCTAAAGAAGAATTCTCATGTGCATTTCTTGTGCCTGCTCTCATCTAATACTTGCAAGTAATCATAGTCATAAATTTTTTAGGACAGAAGAGACTAATATTCTGTTTGGTTTCTTACATAATATAAGCTGTAGATCTCTTTTTGTATTCTTTTCTGAGAGTGTTTGTTTTTTCAGTCTTCAGTCCTGAAAGCGCTTCATATTTGATGGCTGGAATGATTTGAGGAAAGGCTAAAAACTTCACTACTAATTTTTGCACTTTCTAGTTTCAGTGGAAAGCTCAGAGAAGAAAGTATTTTGATACTGTGATTCCAGAAATGGATGTTTTGCTCCTGGTTCTGTTTCTTAGTGTGGTGTTGCTGTATACAGATCCCAAACCACACTGGTATTCTAATTATTTTTTTCTCTTTTTGGCAACTTGGTTAGAGAATGAAAGGTGCAGTTCTGTACGTAAAGGAATTTTCTTTCTTTGGGACCCTATGTTATTCCATCCTCACCTCCCATCGGAAGCAGAAGGTAGAGAGTGAGCAGCCTTTTCCTCTTCTGTTCTAGCTAAGCTTAAGTGTAGTGTAAAGATAAGAAATCAGCTTTAGAATATGTAACCTGCTACACTGTAGATGGTATTCTCTCTGATAACATGGAGTTCAGTGTAAACCAGCTTTCTCCAAGTAGCACCTCCTCAGCCAAAAACCTTAGAACTCCTTTTCCTATAAAGTGATTTTGCTGAATCAAGAATTTGCAAATTAAGTAACAGCTGTTGGTTTAGAGTTTTACTGAGTAGTGGAAAGTTATGCTTTTGCTGTGGAAGTTCAAGTTCAGTAACTAAAAAGGTTAGTTCAATTCAATGAAAATTCGTTTGAAAACATTTGAAGGTTTTCCATGGCTTTGTGCAGTAGCCCATACTTTTTAGCTGTATGTGTATGCAACTATTTAATAATTAATTTTATATTGATCTAATTTGAATTTTGGAAGTCAGCTTAAAACCTGTGTATATTATCACTCTGATAAATTGCATAGTGTGGATATTTTAATAGTGCCTATCTGCTTGCATGCATCACTTAAATGCAGGTTTTGTTAGACCTTACTGCTGTATAAAAAACCCTGCTATTTCTTAGAACTCTTGGTTTAAGATGTTTGAAGGAAATCTTGAAGAAAAAAATTTAATGTAGCATTTGAAGGGAAGTAGGAGATTCATATAATTTTCCTTGTAAGTTTATAATAGATAAAGCATATTTGAAATGGCCAAAACTATTTTTCTTAGATCTGCTCATTTTTTAAAACGGAAGAAGCTATCTGTACTTGTGAGACTTACAGGGATTCTGTAGAGCAGAATATTCTTCTCTGTAGGTATAACAGAGAATCCTCCTCTGTAGGTGTAACTGTCCTGAGTGTGTGTTGGTTTGCTTTGTTTTGTTTAACAGAATGATATGACACCGGTCCGGTTACAGTGGGGAGAAATTCTTATGCCTCTGCTGAAGAAGTACAAGTTGAACATTACATGGGGTGATCAGGATCTGTTGAACATTATGTTCTTTCATAATCCAGGTGAATCCACATTGATTCTAAGTCTAACATGAAAAAAAAAAAGTTGATCTTTTCTATGATGTTCAAAAATCTAGGCAAATACTCTTGTAGCAGACTTTTCAGTGAAATAATTCAAGGGACTTTTCACTTCTTTTGTTTTCTGGAAATGTTTACTCAGAGAGATAGCATTGGAGGTTGCTAGAGTGTAATTTGCTGTTAGGTTTCAAAACAACTGACAGCTTTACAGAAATTCATGCAGTAGCCTTAAGTAAAAAGAGAAGATTACTGTATTTCCTGAAACGATTTTGTTACTTAATTCAGAGTTCTGATTTTTCTGCACAGAAAGTCTTTATGTGTTTCCTTGCCAATGGAATTATCGGCCTGACCACTGCATCTATGGAAGCAATTGTAAGGAAGCTGAAGAAGAAGGTATATTTATTCTTCATGGAAACAGAGGTGTTTACCATGATGATAAACAACCCACTTTTAGAGCCGTCTATGAAGCAATAAGGAATGTAAGTATTTTCAGCACTGTACTTGTACAAAGATACTTCTCAATGTATTTTTATCTACAGTGCTGTAAGTATTATGAAGATTATGTTAATACTTATCTTGATTGCAACAAAGTAATTTTTTAACATTTAAGTGATGTTAAGTGTTTTGTTGATTTTTCACTTTCTACTTAGCTCAAATTCCGGTGTATTCCTTTTGAGATGAGCATCTTTTGGAACAGAGTGTACACTATGTCTAGGTTAGGATTCTAAAACATGGCCTGTAGCTGTCAGTGTCCATTTAAAAGGCTTTATTCTCAATCCTTTAATAAAATGTATCTAGTAAGCTGTGTGAGCATTTGGAAATCAACAGAAGCTTCGTTTTTCTGGAGATTTCAAAATGCAGAAAAAACCAAACTTCTTCCTAAAGTTTGTGTATTTACTACAACACTGTAACACTTAACTGTAGCTAGATTTGAACTGTAGAAAACATTTTTAATTGTGTTTTGACCTTTTCTAGAGATTCATTGTATTAATATGTTGCTGTTCTTTTAAATGCTAAGCACAGTGACTTCTTTTCATTCTGCAAATAAGTCATCTAATAAACTATTTATCACTACATCAGTATACTCACTGAAGAGCTGTAAAATTTAGCACTGATGCACATTTTAATGTAGCAGGCTATTGTGTGTGTATAACCTTCAAAAATCAATAGTATATTTTAATGGTGCTTTATTACATGTTGTCATATGGATATAAAAATGAAGAAAAGTACTTTTGGGGGTCTGAGAATACATTGTAGAGAAAGTGAGTGTGTTTCCATAAAAATATGATTTCTTTGTTTCCTTTGAGCAATGTCAAAAACAGAAGAAAAAATTATTCCTTTTTATTTATGAACCCATTTGTTTTATGAATATGTCAGAGAAAGTATGTAAAACACTGCTGATTCAGTGGTAATAAGATGAACAAAATTCTGTTACTTTGAAATGCTGTTTTAACTTACCATTTGTTTATAAGAAATATTGCACTGTTGAATTAATGACTTCTTTATTTCATGTCCATATTAAACATAGTATGTGTTTGACCATCATTCAGTTTAATGAAACTTTAGTAGTACCACTTTTCATGCTGTTGTTTCATTATAATTTGATAAGAATTGTGTTCTTTAAAAAGTTATATGTCATTCAAGAATTCTACTCTGAAACAAATAACTAGAAACCATTCTAGATCTGTAAAATTTTAGTTTAATAAGGTGATTTTTAATTTCTTCCATTCCTGTCTGGATATGTTAATTTGCTTACTTTTTTAAAAAATCTTGCCTGTTAGGGTTATTGAAAGCATTAGAGAGTATTTCTGTAGTTTAGAGGTGTTTTTCAAATACCACATTCAGAGATTCTCTGAGTTCTTGAAAATGTTCAATAAACCTAGAGAAAGCAAATATGCTGTTCAAGGGCACTTTTATAAAACTTCTTAACAACTGTGAATAATGACACCCTGCTGACATTAAATCTTCTTTTCTTAACCTTTTTACAGTATTCACTTGGAGATGATTTGGTTCATTCCCTGTTGCAGCCCTTAGAACTGGAATTACAGAAAACCATGCATACGTACTGTGGAAGAGTCTACAAAGTGTTCATAAAGCAGCTAACAAAAAGCATAAGAGACTTGTATACCAGAAGATCAAAGGGAAGGTGATTTTTACTCCCAAAAATCAAGATACTGGATTAACATACTGGTCAAAAGGTGCAAACATTCTAATATTGCTTGAAAAGGCTCTTAATGTGCCCAGCTAGAAGTTACTAGCATACATAAAAATGAAGAAAATACTAATGTAATGAAGAACAGGAACTTTTTTCTGCAAAGTTGACTTTTTGGTCTTTTGAAGTTTGATTACTGCTCATGTTTTATTTTGGATCCAGTGATTTGGGTGTTACTGGCTTCTATGGTCAGCAGTTTTAGTCTGCATAATTCAGTTATCTAATGATCAGAAGAACAAGGAAGAAGTGAAGATGTCTCTAATTGGGAGTGTACCTCACATATTGTCTAAAATTCTGTTAAACTGTGAATGTAGCAATAACTGAGTCAGCAGCACTAACCTCACTTTAAAGGTGTGAGCCTTTATGTAAACAAAGTTGTTTACAAGTGCAGAAAATACTCTGTTTTTTCAAAGAAATGTGATATAATCATTGACAATCTCTATGTGCCTTTTTATATTCATCTCTTACATGCTGAAGTACTGTTTTGACAATCTTACTTTGCTTATCTTAGATGTAAACTGCACACTATAAATATGATTTTCTGAGAACTGAATGACTGGTATGTGATACTAGTTTTCTCTGTTGGTAGATACAGAGACTTTTTAATACACAGCAGTTTTTCAGTGTCATTGAGCCATCATGGCCAAAAGCTAGAGCAGAGTTTACGGTATTTTTTTAGCAAAAATTCAGTTTGAAGTTGTGCGTATTACAATATTTTAAAAAAATTACATATTTTGCAGATTTGTAGGGCATTTTGGAAGTAGAAAGGAAAAAAAAGAAGAAAAAAAACCACCAAAACAAAACAGTGGAAAGCTGTTGCTGTTTTATTTCCTTACTAAGAATTATTACCCAATTATTATAGAGTTTTTAGTACCTAAAAATAAAGAGCTGTAATAAGAGTTCCGATGCTTCGTCAGGCTGCATATTAGATTTGTTTCTTAGAGAATATATCGTATTACCATATTTTTTTAATAACATGGCTTTAAAATAGTTTGGGGGCAGACCCTCAACTACATGAATGCATTACTGTCAGTAGGGTCATAGTGATTTACAACAGATAAGGATTTAGGCTTTTAGTTATCTTAGTGGAAAAAAAAGTTCCGTTTGTGTAATACAAACTTTTTCAGAGAAAAACATGAAGAAAAAGGCTGGGTTCTAGTGTAACATTTAAATATTATTTAAACTTGCATGGTATGAAATGTATTTGTAAAATATATTTGGACTTGGATAACCTGTTTAACTGAGATGAAGTCTTCATAAAGTGAGTTTCGGGATTCCAGAAAAGTTCCTGTGTTGTGAACATGGAGGATCCACTCACTGACTTGCACCTTCATCCCAATCCTGTTTTACAAGCTTAATTTTTGTGGCCGTTTCTTTGACAAAGGCAGGCTGGCTCTGACTCCCAGATCCCTGTGAGCTGGACGAATGCTTTAGCAGTACAAAACCACACTCCGTTGCAAGCAGAGTTTATATTCTGCTCCCATTTCAGCTCCCTGCTGGTTCAGGGGGTAAATTTCCAAGGTGGAAACTAGGAAGGAGTCTGCCTCGCATGTAGTTACAGTCTCTTTTCCTTGCTCTGTAACCTTCTGAAGTCTGGAAATCTGTGCAAAGGTGAATACTGTAATGGATTGATTTTACAATATGCATTGCATTATTTTTTTACATAAATACTAATTTTTATATCAATTTGTCTTCAGCTTTTTTTTTTACATGTATTGTGTGTTTATATTGAAAATTTCTTCTTGTTACTTGTTTGTCTTCACAGAAACATTCAGTTATGAATTGATTTTTGATTGTTGTACCTATGTGAAGATAATGCTTACAACCCAATGAGCTATTTTAAGGGAAAAAAATGGTTGTGAAGATTAGCAGCAACCTTTCCAGTTAAATTCAGCTTTTGGGGGGATTAGAACAAAAAAGGTTAATACTGAAGCTTATCATAGGATAAAAATTCTTACTTTGTGGTTATTTTGAGATGTTTATTTAGCATAATGCAATTAGCAGACTATATTGCTTTTTGCCATAGTTTTTGTTTAATTTTTATTAATAGAAACTTGAGCTGCTCACTTCAACTATACATTCCCAAGTAACACTCATGAACGCTCCAGAAAACTTACAAATCAGCAACTGCTTAGTAGGTCCTGTTAAGTAATTCTCCAGAGTATTTGTCTATTTTGAATAAATTTTTAGTTCTGTAATCCCTGTGTCTTAAATTAGAAATATGACCTATCTTTGAAAACAAATGCGATTTACGAAGAAAACATTTGGAGACAGAAAACTGGAAAAACAACTAGTGTGATAGAAACCAGTTATATGGTTATATGAACGTGAGTGTGCAAACTTAAATCTATCTTTATTTCTGTCTAGTTTTAGAAACAATGCTTTTTCTGCAGACAGAGTAAGTAAGGAACAAAATGAGACTTGACAAATTATAGAATTCTCATTTTTACTGATTTATCTATTATAAAATAATTAAATGTTAATAGAAGTGTGAAGTTTCATAGAAAAATGTAAACATCAGGAAATGTACATTTAGGTTAAATTAAGCTATAATTGGTCAAGCTATAAACTTCTGGCAAAATGCTGTTTGGGTAATGGAACTGTCACTGGCTTTGTTAATTTGTACCAGATTTCTGTCCATACCTAGACATAGTCCAAGCACAGAAGCTTTCCACACTTCTCTGTGTGTTTCTGTGACGGGGTGACTGAGAAGCCAGACTTCTTCCCTTTCCTCCTCCCAGACTATACTTCCCATTGGGTCAGCATGGAAGAGGAAATAGCTGCACTGTAATTGTGGGAGGGGGGAAGGGTCTGGGCCTGCTTGAAAGGTGTAGAAGCAGAACATGCAGGAGGCAAAGCTGACAGTGTAATGAATTATCTAGGTGTGCATTATTGGGCTTTCTTGTTTTGAGTGAAAATGGGAATGAAGCACTGCTGCTTATTTACTCACATTTATGGATGTGATGATATTTGGGGGGGATTAAATGGGGTGAAACTGGGGGGTAAATTCAGCCTCCTACTCTTGTAGCTTGTCTGTGGGAAAACAGTAGACTTCTGGTTTCTCCTACCTGGATTACAAAGATTTCTCCAAATGTATGAACATATCTAGAATTTCCATTTCCTAGAAGTCTCAAGTTGTTCTTCTTTGTTTAGCTTCTGTTTCAAATCAAAAGCCTTTTAATTATGAAGCAGGTTTAACAATAGCCATTTACTGACTGTATAATGGGGTTCTTTTGGACCTGGTTAAGCCATATACTCCTGTATAATTTAAATGAGTGTGTAGGCTGTGTGTGCCTCTTTTTTTAATAAATTAACCATTTTGAATAATTTTTTTTTTTTACATGATTTCCTGTGGTATCTAACGTGCTTACCTTAGTTACCATAGTTTCCCTGCTCACTTCACTGCTTTGTGAACGAGTGGCATTTGGAACAGCTCTGGTAATTTTGTGTCTTGAAATAAGTTGCAGAGAACTATAATGTGAGGGTATGACTTTTTCTTTCTTAGAAAGAAGGGCATTCTTTTGTAGCAGAGACAGTAGAAGCATAAAATAATGGGAAGGTACTTCTCATCCCCATGGATCTTGGAGCAGATATTAGATGTGTCTTACGTGGCTGTTGCTGTCAGCCTGAGCACTTCTGTGCACAGAACAGGAGGGATGTCACAGCTTGCATTGTTTAGAAGGTGCCCTAAGTATTTTACTGTAGTGTTTCTAATCTCTTTTGATGTCTCCTGTTTGGTTTCTTTTTTGGCACTGAAGTTCTGTCCAGCTGACTTTATATATTTGAGAAGAATAACTTAAACTCCCACCAAATTTTGCACAAATCACAGCTGTTTGCTCAAATTGCCAAAAAAAAAGTGAGCAAATCATGACTCCAGCAAGTAAAATTTTGAAAAATTAAACACTAGTGCATGTGGCTTTAGGTTCCCTTAGCAAAAAGAAGAATGTTGTTTGATCCAAGTTTAGGTCTACAGATAAACACAACTTGTTTCCTGTATTTAACTACCAAATCTTAAATAACACAGGCTAATTTTCTATAAAAATGCAGATTGCATCACAGTTGCTTTGTAGTCCTTGTAGACTACTAGAAGCTATTACTCAGGTTTAAAACCAGAAGATGTTTGCAGATGTAATAGTGAATTTCCACTTCAGGAAGTGGAGAGAAAATCTCATTTTAAAGTAGTTCTCGAAATCTCTCTCTTGTAACCACTTAGTAGATGTATACAAGAACAGCTTGTCCTCCAAAGCTGTCATAAAATTTAAGATTTGTCATTCTCCAGTGCATTTTTAAGCCTTTTCGAGGCCTATTAACATTTTCAATTTCTTGAAGGAATATTAAGTCATCAGAAATTCTGGTGTTGAAGTTCTGTTGTGTCTCTTCAGTTTTGCCATTGCTTTATGCACAGCTGTATTCAATTCTTTAGAGAGTCTTCATTTAAACTTATGGGTGTTCATCTCCTGGTATATTTGCTAGCAAATTTCTACAGGGCTTGTTTCTTCTCCCCTTCCTCTTTTCCCATAAAACATAATCACCAAGCTCTTCTTTCATTTGAATGCTTATAAAAATTACAGGAGATATTTTTACAGGTCTCTTTGCTGAGACCTGTAATTAGAGGAGGACCTATAGTCCTACTGTGGTTGGTGGTTTTTTTTGTTTTTCTTCAGATTGCTGTCTGAGGATGCTTGGGTAGGAGGAATTTTTTGAGCATTTAGTAAAGTCATTAATGTTTTTTGAGTGATCAAGTGGTAGTTTCTTCCATGAATCAGTTAATGTCCCTGTCTGCTCTTATAATAGATGCTTGGCTGCTGTCTGACTGCTTGATCTATGTGATTGAAAGTTCCTTTGATTCAAGCAGTGAATGTCACTTCTAAGTTTGGATTTTAAATACTCCTCCTCTATCTGGGTGCCACCTCAGTTGCACAAACCGGGGACATAGTCTGTTTGTACTTTTAGATGTCCATCTTAATTTAATTTCCTTGGTTTAGTTTCCATCTAGAACCACAGGAATAAAATACTGAGGTAACAAGGAATGCAGATTTTTTTCACAACTGCTTAGAGAACTACAGATTTATGAAAAATTACTTTTGAAATAATATTCTATCCTTGAGCCTAATTTCTGGTTTGGTTGTTCTAAGGATCGGCATCATTTTTTCAGTCAAATAATTTGACTTTTTCCTGTTTCAGCCCCTTATGTGGAGGGATGACCAGGTATCTCTTAAAAAAACCTGATTGTTTCATTTGCATTCCAAGGAAAGGAACAGCAGCTCTTTTAAGTCATTGCTCTGTATC